CACTCCAGTACTTCACATATTTGGGTATATTTCTTCATCTCCTAATCTGTTCTACTTATTTGTCTATGTGGACAGGCACCAGTGTGAAACATTTTAATTACTATGGTTTTCAACAGGTTGAATATCTGGTAAGGCTAGTCCTCGCCTATTTTTCTTTTTCATTGGCATGCTTGCATTTTAAAAAAAAAATAATACCAACTGTAGAATTAGCCTATCAGGTTCCTCAGAGAATCCTTTTAATCCTTTTATTAGGACAACATGGAATCTGGCTTAATTCAAGGAGCACTGACCCCTCTGTGAGGGTGTTTGTGTGCAAGAAAACCGTGTGCCCTACACCTCTCCACACCCCTTCTGTGGTCCCCTTTTTCTCTCATAAAACTTTCTCCATGAAGCTTTCTTTTGTTAGGTTTATTCTAAGACACTTCAACTCTTTTGTGGCTGTTACAAATGTGGTTGTTTTCTTCCTTTCTGTCCTGAAAATGGTGGTTAATTGTGTGTAGGTGAAGGCTGTTTTTGATGTATTTATAGAAATTTTTCCCCCACCACCTAACTGAATTCCATCTTTTTCATAATCGTTTTCTAGTTGATGTTCTTGGGTTTTCAAAGTAAATTATCATGTCTACAAATAATGATAGTTTTGCTTCCTTTCTGATTTTTTACTTCTCATTTCTTTCTCTTTTGATGTTGGTGTCACATAGCAGTGATTGAGTATACTGTTGGGAGTAGCCTCCTCATCTTGTTAAATGTTAAAGAATCACTTTTTCTTCCTATTAAGAATTTTTATCAAGGAGGGCGCCTGGGTGGCTCAGTTGTTATGCGTCTGCCTTCGGCTCAGGTCATGATCCCAGGGATGTGGGATTGAGCCCCACATCGGGCTCCCTGCTCGGCGGGAAGCCTGCTTCTTCCTCTCCTACTCCCCCTGCTTGTGTTCCCTCTCTCACTGTGTCTCTCTCCGTCAAAAAATGGGTGAAATCTTTAAAAAAATATATATATATATATATATTTTTTTTTTATCAAGGGGGCTCCTGGGTGGCTCAGTCGATTGAGTGTCTGCCTTCAGCTCAGGTCCTAATCCTGGGGTCCTGAGATTGAGCCCCGCATCTGGCTCCCTGCTCAGCAGGGAGTCTGCTTCTCCCTCTCCCTCTGCCTGCCACTCCCCCTGCTTGTGCATGCTCTCTCTCTGTCAAATAAATCTATTAAAAAAAAAGAAGAAGAATTTATAACAAGGGCACCTGGGTGGCTCGGTTGGTTAAGCATCTGCCTTCGGCTCAGGTCATGATCCCAGGGTGCTGGGATCGAGCCCTTTGTTGGGCTCTCTGCTCAGCAGGGAGTCTGATTCTCCCTCTCCTGCTGCCGCTCCCCCTGCAGATGCACATGCACACACACGCTATCTCTCTGTCTCTCTGTCAAATAAATAAAAATATTTTTTTTAAAAATTTCTATCAAGAGTAGAAATTGAATTTTATCAGATGCCTTCTCAGCTTTTCAGATTCTGGGAATAATCCTAGGATTTTTTTTTCTGACAGATCTCATATGATATAGTGATAATTGTGCTGATACTGTATTGAATTATCCTGTTTTTTTATTAATTTTACTTGGTTATGGTATATTAATCTTTGAGTTGTTGGATTATGTTTGCTGGTATTTTACTCAGGATTTTTTTTTTTTTTTTTTTTTTGGAGAGAGGCGGGTTGGGTGCAGAGGGAGAGGTAGAGAAAGAATCTTAGGCAGGCTCCACGCCCAGAGTGCAGCCCAACATGGGGCTCAGTTTCAGGACCCTGAGATCATGACCTGAGCCGAAACCAAGAGTCAAATGCTCAACCGACTGAGCTACCCCGGGGGCCCCTTACTCAGGATATTTTCACTGATACCTATAACTTGGAATTTTTCTCTTGGGGTTGTATGTGTGTTTGTATGGAGTTTGGGGGTTCTTTCCCAAGAAAGAGATTGAGAAGAGACCACTACCATGACCCACCATACTTCGGACCAATTTAAATAGCTTTGGAAATGTCTGTCCCTACATGGTTTGTGGAAACACCTGATTCTGCTGGTTTTTTTAGGAGTTCAGTATGTATTTCAGGTGACACAGAATACAAAGTTCTTTTTCTTTGCCTTAACATAGGATAATTGACTTGGGAAAGCTTTTTTACTTCAGTAAAATTTACTCCAATCCAGGAGTTAAACACACATACATATGTATATGTGTGTTTGGATACCTGCGTGTATATATGTGTATATTAAAACAGAAATGCATAATTAAATGTATTTTTATGCCCAGTTTTTAAACCCTGTTCTGGGTTTGGACGCTGGTGCATCATGAATGTGTCCCTGTGTGTCTGCACACTTGATACATGTTGGCATCCCTTAGTCAGTTGGGCAGGCCTCCTGGACCAAGCCCAGGCTGTACTAACTGTGGGTAGAGGGCTTGGGTAGGGCTGTTAATCCTACCACTACACCACAGAGGGTGACCATGCGGTTGAAAAAGGAGAGCGTAGCAGAGCAGTTGTGGATGTTTTGGGCCTATCGGTGGCGCACCTACCCATGTGGTGGGCCTGGAGATTTAAGGATGGATGACACAGTCTCTGACCATCTGGTAGTAGGAATGCACCCAAATAGATAGGTGAACAACAATGCCCTAAGCATGGTGCTAGGGATAAGTACCAAGGGATATGGCAGTGAAGTGGAGCTGACTGAAATTAAGGGGACCTTACCCTTGAGGTAATGAACTCCTCAGGTTCTCAGAGGGTCTACTGGAGACTGACAGAGGGGGAGAGGGTGTTTCCCTGTGAGGGAGCAACTGGGTATCCAGGTCGCCACTGGATGGGTGAGGCCAGGTCGTGTGGGGCTGTGCACACCACACTGTGAGGGTGTTCCCTCCTGTGGTGCTCCCCAAGTGCACACCCCTCCAGTCCTGGGGGAGGGGACATGGCTGTGGGAGAGCTTCCTGGGGACGAGTGTTTAGTGTTAGAGGAGTTGCAGCGGACTCCATGATTTCCATGATCTCTGACCAGTTCACCACTGAGGGGATTTGACTGCACATCTGTCCAAGTAGCCCTAGTGCGAGGGCGTTCTCTATGAGAGCACAGTGGGCACACTAGCCCCGGCGTGCCTCTTCAGGCACCCACCACCCCAGAGTGAGCCCCTACCATGATCCTTGAAAGAGGTGACGTTATAGTACTTACATCCAGAAGACTTGCTCTTCTGTTCTCTATGAGATGTATTGTTAGTGTAGGACCTCTTTGCAGCCCACCTTTCCATTCCCATGAGGTGCGTATTGTGCTGTGATTCGCTGTGCGCTTCTTTGTCACAACACAGTGCAGATTTTTGTATCTTCACATAAGAATTCTCATTTTAGGAGTGTAAACACATCTTGGGTACACAGCAAGAAAGTCTGCTGGTTAAACTTAAAGGAACATGATATCCTTTGGAACAATGGAAATTTGCCTTTCTTCCCACATACATACATTATTTTCTCACTGCAAAAATGACAGATGCCAGGGGCACCTGGGTGACTCAGTTGGTGAAGCGTCTGCCTTCAGCTCAGGTCATGATCCCAGGGTCTTGGGATCAAGTTCCGTGTCGGGCTCCCTGCTCAGAGAGGAGTCTGCTTCTCCCTCTGCTCCCCTCTCATACTCTCTCTCGGTATCTCTGTTGCTATCTCTGTCTCTCTCTCTCAGACTCTTTTAAAAAATGACAGATGCCCATTGATGAAAAATTTAGACATTACAGAAGTTAGTAAATAAGGTAAAAGTGAAAGTGCTTGTCCCACCCACCACCCACATTCAGTACTAAATGGCAAATCCAGTGTGAGTGTTTTACTAAATGGAATTCTATTACAGACACTGGATAGAAGGGGAACCTTTTTTCCTTCTTGACTGGACGTCAAGCTTGGACTTTATTCCACAGTAGCACATACAGAGTTTGTAGGAGTTGCATGGATTCAACTATGGATGTACCGTTTATGTCATCAGTTCATCATTGGATTTGTCCTTGCATATTTATCTCTGTGCAGTTGTGAGATATCTGCAGGAGAAAGTTGTAGAAGTGGCATTTCTGGAGCAAAGACGTATGTGTACATTTTAAATTTTGGAGGCGTTTCAAATTCTCCCAGAAGATGGGATGGATCGGGGTTCCCCTGGCGGTGTGTGACAACCACACCACGTCGTTCTCCCAGGCCTCTGAGGTGAAAAATGGTATCTTGCTGTTTTAATTTACTTCCTTATTAGAGGACTTGAGTACCTTTTTCTATGCCTAAAAGCCATTTATATTTCTTCCAATTCATAAGAGCAATATGAAAGATAAATTATAATTTGTTTCAGTATGATTCTAAATTTTAACTTTGTTCACTGTTTCTCTATTCAGAAGTTTTTCATCTTTATTTAATCAAATCTGTGTTTATGCTATACTTAGGAAGACTTTACTTACCCCAAGATTGGAGAAATATTCTCCTCTGTTTTGTTCTATTCTTTAGTCCACTGGAGTTTATTTTTGTGAGCAGTGTGGACCAGGGATCTAACTCCATTTTTCTTCGAAATGGAGAGCCGATTGCCCACCTCATGTTTGAACAGTCCATGCTCTTCTTGCTAGTGTTGCTAGCAAATAATATTCACTTGGATCTTATGCACACATGGAGTATGAGACCCACCTTTTTAGTAAATATCAAATTGTTTTTATAAAATGTTCACTGAGGCTGAAAATGGGTTCTGCATTCCGAAAATGCCTCAAGTTACAAAGAAAAAATGGCTAAGGACACAACTGAGAACATAAGACTGAAGGAATTGTCTAGCTTTATGTTAGTTTCAGTTTCCGATCACAAAGAGCCTTGGGCTCTTTATTTGCTTTGTGATGGTTTGTAAACATTATAGAAGGAAGAGTGAAGCCAGGAATTCAGTAGGATGGAGTTTAACATGCAGGAGGCCAGGTCATGGCACGGTGTTACACGAACCCATGTTGTGAGAAGGCACGTAATCCTCCTGTGTTCCCCTCCCTGCCTTTCACAGCCTAAGCGCGATGGCCAGACGTTGCTGACCCAGGTGTGGAGGCGCTTGAACCTGACGGAGTGTGACTACTTTGGGCTGGAGTTTCAGCATCCCCGGTCCTACTGGGTATGTGTCCTTGCCTTATTCTTGCAAGCTCTTGAGAGCTGACCGTGCACGTGGCCACAGAGAGCCTTTGAGGACCCGCTGCAGTGATACAGCACCATACTTTATCACATTGTTGTTACCAGAGCTGCACTGTGGAGACACGGACTGCACTGGCCTTTTAGCTAAGCTGAGTTCCCATCCTCCCTAAATTTGTTCTCCTCACCAGTACATGTGTCAAGGAAATCCAGAAACAACCGCCAGGACATCTGCATGATAATCATTTTGAGCAAACTTTTATGAAATTCATTGGTTATCCCTCATGTTATTTGATTGATGAACCTTAAAAAATGTGGAACTTAATACAGGCGGAACTGTTTTAAAGAAACCAAAATTAGGGGTGGCAGGGTAGCTCAGTCCATTAAGTGTCTGACTCTTGATTTCAGCTCAGGTCTTGATCTCATGGTTGTGAATTCAAGCCCTACATTGGGCTCCATGCTGAGTGCGGAGTCTACTTAAAAAAAAAAAGAAAGAAACCAAAATCAGCCTATTCAATAAGTGTGTCAGCATTACTGAGCTCTGTCCACTCCGTGCAGCGGCACTCTTGTCCATTAGTTGTTTACAGGTGCATCTTGTACCAAAGATTTGTTTGGCCTTAACAGTTGCCCCCCAGAATAATTATTGGTACCCATGCTGTGCCTAGCAACAACAGTGTGCATGTGACCTAATGGAGGGGTCCGGGCCTGCGTGGTGTCTCATCATCCTCCCACACTTCTCGAAGCAGGTGTTCCTGTGCCTCTCCCAGGTGTTTTGTCAGGATTTGACTGGTGTGTGAGCAGAGGGCCAAAACAGGCCCCGCCTTAAATATCTCTCCTAGTTATAAACAGTTCTGTATTTTGTAGCATAGTTATTAAATAGAGAAATCGTTGAACGGATTTGATCTCTTTTCTTAAATCCTCTTTAGATTTGGCTGGAACCTATGAAGCCCATCATTAGGCAAGTACGAAGTAAGTCCTTTTTTTAAACTCTTTAAAATTCTGTTCATTTAAGAGCTTTTGTTCTTGACTGTTCAAATTGGAGGTATGTCCAGATGTTCATTGTCCCCACCGTGGGGAGCAGTGAGGTGATTGCCAGCGGCACGTGAACTTGGAGACCGTTTTGCTACTTAGTCTCAGCCTGCGACAGCTGCAAACACTCATTGGTTCTCAAACGCAGTGGTAACAGGATATGCTCTTGGATATGTCACTTAATTTTTTGCCAATATGCAAAAATAAGTATGCAGTTTCTCCCCCCAAGTTACAAAAAGGCATTGAGGTTCTTCCTTTAATTAGCTTCTTAATTTTTTTTAACAATTTTGAAAACTTTATTTTTTGTGGTATTATTTTTATTTGAGTATAGTTGACACAATTTACATTTTTAATAAAATAGTTTATACTGTTTTGTAATTATAAACATAATTTCTGTTAGTCTCCATTAAATTTTTAAAAATTGGGGCACATAGTAATCCCTCTTAGTTACAGGGTGCTGTCCAGGGGTCCAGATTCACTTGCAATCTGTTTGATCCCGTATGAGAGAGAAGGATGGGTGCCAGTAGCCTCGTTAGTCACTGGTGACCTAATGCCATGTAGGTCATCGTGGCCCTGTAGCACACCACCTCCTCTTTCCTGCTTGGTGAAAATTACACAGCTGTGTTATAAAAATTTTAGTAAAGCTGAGATGCTCAGATGAGCTAACACCTTCTGCTTTTTCTTTCCAGTAATCAGGTTGTTCTGGTTCAGTATAGTGAGTGATGACATTTTTCTTTTACTAAAGTATATAAAGATTTCAAAAAATAGTCGGATTGACTTACTTGTGAAGTTTGAAATGTTTCTTTTCAGGGGCGCCTGGGTGGCTCAGTCGGTTAAGTGTCTGCCTTCGGCTCGGGTCCTGACCCCAGGGTCCTGGGATCGAGTCCCACATCGGGCTTCTTGCTCAGCGGGAAGTCTTCTCCCTCTCCCTCTGCCTGCCGCTCCCCCTGCTTGTGCTCTCTCTGTGTGTCAAATAAATAAATAAAATCTTTAAAAAAAATTTTTTTTAATAAATAAAATGTTTCTTCCCATAGGGCCAAAAAACGCTTTGCTTCGTCTAGCAGTGAAATTTTTCCCACCTGATCCGGGTCAGTTGCAGGAAGAATATACAAGGTAAAGAGCCCCAGCTGAAGCACAGCTGTTGTCAGCAGGGTCTAGAATTCACCTGTGTCTCCCGCAGCACCTGGCTCATTAGGTGCTCTGGGATATATGTATTCCTAGAACGAATGAAGCTGCAACACACATAGAAGGTGTGATCGTGTAGTATTAAAAGAAGCAGTTAACTCTTGCACAAACACAAATGCCAGTAGAGCTTAGAAAAGGGTTTATGGTGAAATTTGGGGACAAAAAGGGGGGTATGTGTTAGTGTACTGTGAAAGTGCTAGTCTCCAGCTGAGCACAGATTTGTGCTCATGCATGAGGTTCTCAGGAGTTTCACCCATCATAAAGGCACAAAGTACACACAGCTGGGAGAAGTACTGAGTTGGAGAGTCTTTATGAATATATGGAGCAGAAATATTTTAGGTGATTTCTTTTATGGCAGAAGTAACTGAAAGAAATGTTTACAGTTGTTTCATCTGGGCAACAGATTATGGAAGTTTTTTTCCTTGTGTTTTATGTACCAACTCAAAACCCAAGATCAGATGTAAGATAAAAGGGAACTAGTAGTAACAGTCCTGACTGAAAATGGATTCCTACCTGAACCATAGGCATCTTATGAACCTCTCTTCAGAAGGTTTTTGTAGAGCCTTGTAACATCACAAAATCACTGTCAGCCGTAGGGAAATGTTGGTATCCCATTAGTCTAGCCCCTCGTTTGATGGGTAACAAGACTGAACCCCAACGACAGCAGAAAGTGTTTTTAAGAGTAAATACAGAATTCATCTTCATAGTGTATCACATACCTGATGTCCTTTTTGAGGGAGTAACTTTTAAATATATATATTTGGAAAATAAGGAATAGGAAGTATTACCTAATTCTGGGTCCTGGGTCCAAGCCATGTCTATGCAGAAGTTCCTTTTTTGTTTGTTTGTTTATAAGAAAAATGTACTGTTTATGATAAAAGAAGAGAAACTTCAAAATAAAGCTATGTAAAAAGTGAATGTACTTCTTCACTCTCTGCCCACTGCATTGTCTCCAGAAGTAGTATCACTTGAGGTGTGTCTTCCAGATGAATTTATAGCAATATACAAGTGGACCCAGGTCTTTAAAGAAATTATTTTACAAAGCAGTATCACTATACCCTTAGTACTGTATGTGGTTGTTTCCTGTTCTGTTTTTTACCCGCATGTCATAGTGTGCTGTGGATGTGTTTCGCAGCAGTTTGTGTGGCTATAATCTACTTTATTGAACTCTTCCTGTCCGTGCATACTTAGATTATTTCTCTGCTGTATTGCTGCAAGTAAATAGCCTTGTCCACATAGCTTTGTAAACTCTGGAAAATATTTCTCCAGGAAAGTTTCGTAAAAGCAAAATTGCTAAGTTCAAGGATAGGCACATTTCAATTGTTAAGCTCACTCTAGAATATAAATTCCCACAAGGAGAGAGTTTGTCTTGCATCATACTTCCAACTCCAGAAATAGTACCTGGAATGCAGTACTTGCTCAGTAATTATTTGTTGATGGAATAAATGAATATATGAATACATTCAAATTGCCTACTCTAGTTACAGTCTTACCATTCAGAAGTGCCTATTTCTCAGATCCTAGCCAAGACCAAATACCCTCAATCTGCCTGCAACTTTCAGAGCCCCATTTTAAGCTATATCTTAATTGGATATTTCTGCTCTTTCACAGCAGAATTGTTGAGTGCAGTTCTGGGTGTGTAACAGAAGTAATATGAATTTGTGAGCTTCCCTTAGAGGTGTGGTGTGTCTGGAACGCAAGCGTCTGCGTGCTCCTGTGTGTGCGGTCTGCTGCACGTGACCCTGTCCACCGAGCTGCCACCAGCAAAGGGCCTCCTGTCACTTTGCCTTTGCTCACCGTCTGCTCTGATGTCCCTGGTCACTGCTGTTTCTTGGGGCTCTGTGCTCTCCTGCGATGGCGACATGGGGGGGGGCTGTGCTCGAGAGCCTTTGGAGTTGATGTCTGTGGTGTTTTGAACTCCCTTCTAGATACCTGTTTGCCTTGCAACTTAAGAGAGACCTCCTGGAGGAGCGTCTGCCCTGCACGGATACCACGGCCGCCCTTCTGGCATCCCACCTTCTGCAGTGTTAGTATCTCCCCGCCCTGGGCAGAGGCGCATACGGTCAGAGGTGCACAACACTCCTGACCACCAGCACCTGATGCACCTTCAAGGTTAACCAGTGTGATGACGAACGGAGGCCCATTTTCTCTGATAAGCTGAAGATTAACATCTACAAGGTGGAGATCCTTGAGGCAAACAGTCTCCACCCAGAAAGGAAGGCTCAAGGCCAAGATTCACAGCCACACATGTTCTTTGGCAATGTCTCTCGTTTGTGCCTTCTCGTATTTTCCCATAAATGTCTTCAGTCTGGGAGCCAAATGGTAGCCCTGACCCTCAGCACCCCTGGAAAGAGACCTCCCTGGTGTGCACGTCACAGCCCCCCCCCAGTGACGAGTTAGGTATCAAACCCTGAGAAAAGGGCGCCTGGGTGGCTCAGTCGGTTAAGTGACTGCCTTCGGCTCAGGTCATGATCCTGGAGTCCCAGGATCGAGTCCCACATCGGGCTCCCTGCTTGGCAGGGAGTCTGCTTCTCCCTCTGACCCTCTTCCCTCTCGTGCTCTCTATCTCTCATTCTCTCTCTCTCAAATAAAAAATAAAAAAAAAAAAAAAAAATAAAAAATAAAAAAAAAAAAAAACCCTGAGAAAAAAGAACACATTTCTCAGTGTGTCACACAGAGCAAGGGATGGCTCAGAAGAACAGGAAGAATTATAGCATGGGAAGAGGTTCTGAAAGCAGGGTATGCCTTGCCGGGGCTTTGCGAAGCCCCCAGCTGACGAGGAAAGGGAAACACGCTGCTGCTGGACTAGAGTCCCCCTGGCACAGAACTAATGTATCTGAAAGTTTGAGCACAGGAAGTATAATGTAGAAAGTTTCAGGAATCGTAGCAACTAATAACATATGTAGGTTAATTTGTGGTTTCCTTGTCCCCCCTCCTCCCCCACACATACGCACCTTCTACAGATAGCAAGGTTCATCGTAGATTTGCCATCCTGCACTAGGGGCCTTGTCGGCTCTTGTTAATGTACATTGTCAGTGGGACTGATTATTTATTGGATCTGCAGTCTTCTCAGAGAGATGGATGGCTTTCCAGTGCCGCTTGCTTGAGGGCTACGTACAGTGTAGTCACAGTCACCTGTGGGACTATCGCTTTCCCGAGCGTGCTGCTTATGCCTCGGGTGCCTCTGAGCTGGGCTGTCTGACTGCAGAGGACACGCAGCCGCTGCGGAAGAGCAGATGCGGCAGTGGGCAGAGTCCTGTCCTGCTGTGAGGCAGGCGCTGCGCTTATGGGTGCGAGTGTCCTGGTCCCTAAAGTGGGGCACTGTGCGTGCAACTTTCTGTGAATTTGAGGCTGTCTAAAAACAAAAAAGTGTATCGTTTAAGGTTATTGGGCTTTAACTGTGACTCTTAAAAGATGAGTAGCCTCAAGATTCATGAAATTAGAAAGAGACATTGTTCCTCAAGAATTTGAGAGGTCCTGAGGGGGAAAATGATTTCAAATACATTATCCTGAAACAAATTAAGATACATATTCCTAGCTACAACAGTCTTGAGACTGCAGACAAATAAAGCATGGTTTAAGACACAACAAACCGCTCAGGATAAACTGGTGGCTCAGCAGTGACCCCCCTCTCTGGGGTCACTAACCAGCATCTTTGTTCTTCAAAACTCAGAAACTTCTTTACCTGCCTTTATATTTGCCTTTAATAGCTTAAGATATGTGGAAAAGTAAGATACAAAATCCCGTTTGTTTGAGGGATATATGCTTTTACTACAGGTTTAGGATAATTTTTTTCTACTTTTAATTCATGCATTTGCATGTACGAATGCTTGTATTTTTCTTTATTTGAAAATTAGAATCACTGTTACTGTCTCATTTCAGCGGAAATAGGAGATTATGATGAAACCCTGGACCGAGAGCACCTCAAAGCCAATGAGTACCTGCCCAGTCAGGAGCATTCTCTTGAAAAGATTCTAGAATTCCACCAGAAGCACACGTGAGTCCATCAGAGCCGACCACTGGCCCCCTGTCACCACATACGACCAACTAGTGTGTTTATGTAATGGAAGCCGTCGCGGAGGCTTCTGCAAGACTGACCAGAGTCACTACTGCCCACTCCCTGGGGGCACAGTCCCACTGCTGGGGGGAGGCTAGAAAGAAGGTCCGTGCCCTGACAGGAGTGACCAGAGGGCAGGGCATCAGGGGCAGCTGTGTGTGAGCGTTCTTAACTAAGCAGTGTGTGAGATATCTGTGGGCCGTCCTACAAGGTGGGGTCGAGCTGACGAATGCCAGCATTGCAGACCTACTGGCAGCCCTGTTCTGTGAGCGACTTCATTTGGGGTTTCTCCAGGACTCAATGCCGGTGTGCTTTTTTGGAGTGAAGAGAGGTGCAGGAAGGAGCCGTGAGGAGGGAGGGCCGGGGCCGAGGGTCTGGGGGAGGGAGGTGGTTGTGATCTTGAACCCACCAAAGGGAAAGTGGACAGGACAGGGGCCTGATGGCTTGGGCTTGCCCTTGAGAAGGGGCCTGTTGATGTGCGAGTTCATTCTGGTCTGATAACCCTCGTGAGGAAAGCTCCACTGGCATCCCTCTCAGCTTTTCTTTTTTTTTTTTTTTAAGATTTTGTTTATTTATTTGAGAGAGAGAGCATGAGAGGGGGGAGGGTCAGAGGGAGAAGCAGATTCCCGAGCAGGGAGCCCGAGGCGGGACTCGATCCCGGGACTCCAGGATCATGACCTGAGCCGAAGGCAGTTACTTAACCAATTGAGCCACCCAGGTGCCCCCCCCCTCTCGGCTTTTCATCAAAGGTTTGGGTGCCAGCAATCTGTCAGTCTCTACTGTCCACACTGGGGAAGGGGGTAGCTTGAGCAGCACAGACCAAGATTCTCACCCTGGAGGACTTGACATTCGCCCTGAGAGACTGCGTGCTTCTCAGGCGTTTTGCCACTCACAGGTACTTAGGGAGTGCCTTTTGTGTGCCCGGCATGGGGGCAGGCATTGGCTATACCAGTGTATGTGCATTGTGGTGTGTGGGCTACAGGACAGAGTCTCCTTCGCTGAGAGGAGAAGGGTGAGTGGCTGGGCTGCTCGGGCAGGCAGGCATCTTTGAGGAATTAGCCACATGGGGTTGGGGAGGGGCGTTCAGGCAGAGACAGCAGCCTGGGAGGGTGGGAGGTGGGTCAGGGGAGCCCAGCCTGCCACCCACAGTTCCACCTGAAATTCTGGTTTAAGCAGTGGGGCAAGTAACTGTTTCTGCTGCTGACAGGAGGCTGCGTGTGACCCTACTGTCATGGCCAGACCAAGTGAAGGCACCAGCCCGGTCTTGGGTGTCATGGTTGGGGCACCTCTTAGTGTCAGAGTTCAGCACATGGGGGTGAAGGAGCAAGGGGCCATCTCCCAGTGCCCGGCCCCCAGGAGATGATGACCTGTTCGGAGTTGTGCCTGGAGTGGTGGGGGGGCCTTGCACCGGCACCAGCAGGTAGATGGTCTGGGGTGCAGGCAGAGTGTCATCAGCATGTGAACAAACAGGCTGTGTGTGCAGGTCTCCTAGGGAGGAGAGGGTAGAGGCAGATGGAGAAGAGAGAACAGGCCCCTAAAGACTGGCCGTGGGAAGGTGAGTGAGAAAGGGGCACCGCCAGAGGCCATGAGAACAGGGCCAGTGAGCGAGCAGGAAGAGAGCCGCGGACACCAAGGGACAGTGTGTTAGGAAAGGGCACAGCGCCTCGGGCTGAGGGTCAGCACCAGGCCTGGCGAGTACGGATGCAAGCATGTCTGTGAGGTGAGGTTCAGGGTGAAGGCCAGGCTCACACTGGAAGTGAGGTGAGGGAATGGTGCAGGTCTGTGAGCAGTCACTCTGAGCGCCACCTGGGAGCTAATGAAGATGACCCAGTGAGGGCGCCTTTGCATGTGTGCGCGTGTGCCTGTGCTCGCATATCCATGCCCTTGCGCGCCTGTGCTCATGTGCCCACACAGAGCATATATGTGCGCATGTATGTGCGTGTTAGGTGCATGTCTTAAGGTGGCTGCTTTAAAAACTCGTGAAAGGGGCACCTGGGTGGCTCAGCTGGTTAAGCCTTCGGCTCAGGTCATGATCCCAGGGTCCTGGGATTGAGTCCCGCATCGGGCTCCTTGCTCCGCGGGAAGCCTGCTTCTCCCTCTGCCTCTGCCACTCCCCCTGCTTGTGCGTGCTCTCTCCCTCTCTCTCCGATTGATTGATTGATGAATATATATATAAAACTCATGAAAGTCAGAGGAGAAATCTGGTGATGTGCTTCATAGAGGACTAAACCTGGGCTCTTTCCACAGGACTGCCTCCTTCCCTGAGCTCAGCTGTTGCTCTCTGGGCTCTCATGGTTCTTTTTTTTTTTCCCCTAAAGATTTTTATTTTTAAGTGATCTCTACACCCAGTGTGGGGCTCAAACTCAAAACCGAGAGATCAAGAGTCAGGGTGGCTCTTTCATGGTTCTAATATGCTGACTTATCTTCCATAGTCATCAGATACTTACTGTGCTTCTTTTCTTTAAATCATTTTTTATGGTGGGGTTTTTTTTTTAAGATTTTATTTATTTATTTGAGAGGGAGAGCACTAGAAAGCGAGAGCTAGCAGGAGTGGGAGCGGCAGAGGGAGAGCAGGCTCCCCACTGAGCAGGGAGCCCGACGCAGGGCTCCATCCCAGGACCCCGGGATCATGGCCTGAGCCGAAGGCAGACGCTTCACCGACTGAGCCACCCAGGCGCCCCTAACCAAGATAAATTTCTTACCTAGTGTAGAGTATCTTCTTGGGCCCCCTGGAAACACACTTCAGTAATCACTGAATAAGATATTGAAGGAATGGTTTTTTACTTTTATCACAGTTCTTTTGGACCTTTGAGATTGAAGGAAAAGATTTGAAAGCTGCTCTTAGTCCTTCGTGGCTGCTGTAACCGAGCACCCCAGGCTGGGTGACTTGTAGCCCACAGGCCTTGGTTTCTCACAGTTCTGGAGGCACTGGTGGATTCGGTGTGTGGAGGACCTGCTTCCTGTTTTGTAGATGGCATCTCTTGCTCTGTCCTCTCAGGGCAGAAGGGGCTGGGGGCTCCCTGGAGCTTCTGCTTTGAAGGCACTAATATTCATTAGTCTTCTACACGGCCCTCTCCCAAAGACCCCCCCTAAATACCATCACACTGGGGGTTCGGCTGCAGCCTAGGAATTTTGGAGGACACAGACATTCACCCTGTAACATTCCACCCCCCACAATTCACGTCCTCCTCACATGCACAATACGTTCGTTCCATCCCAACAGCCTGAACGTTCCCACTGCTCCAGCACCGACTCCAAAACCCTCCCAAGCCCACAGCCTCTCCTGAATCTCATCTTGATGAGGTATGGCTGGGATTCCGGCTATGGTTCTGCTTGAGGCCAAGTCTCCTCCAGCTGTGAGCCTGTGAAAACAGAATACTATGCTGGGGGACAGCATAGGATTGGCACTTCCCTCCAAAGGGAGAAATTGGAACGAAGGGAAGGATAACAGGTCTCAGGCAAGCCTAAAACCTAGCAGGGCAAATGACGTTAGACCTTAAAGCTCAGGAATAATCCTCTTTGGCTCAGTGCTCTGCCCTCCGGGCAGCCCTGGCCTTGGAAACCCCATGGAGGCCTTGGGGCCCCCAACCCCCTCCATCTTCCACTTCAGCTTGTGATGGGAGGGGCAGCCCTGACCTGATTGCCTTTGGGGTCCTTCTCCCACTGTCCCAATTTCTGTCCATGCTGATCTCCTTAGCCATTTAGCCACACCCTTAGTGTCCTCATTTTCTGCAGTATGCATAGGCTGAACATTTTCCTAATCTTAATTCTGTTTCCTCTTTGTTTCGCACTTCCGTCTCTCAGGCACTTCTCTCTTGAGCTTTCCTGTCAGCAGTCAGAGGAGCCCAGCCGTACCTTCCCAACTTGGCTTAGAGATCTCTTCAGCCAAGCATCCAGTCCCGTTGTTGGAAAGTTCTGCCCTCCACAAAACACTTTAGGACATAAATATAATTCAGCCAACTTTTGTGCCACTTTACAAAAAGGATCACCTTATCTCCCATTTCCTGTTTTTTTTTTTCATTTTTTTTTAAAGATTTTTATTTGAGAGAGAGAGAGAGAGCATGAGAGGGGGGAGGGTCAGAGGGAAAAGCAGACTCCCCCCCACTCAGCAGGGAGCCCAATGAGGGACTCGATCCCGGGACTCCAGAATCATGACCTGAGCTGAAGGCAGACGCTTAACCGACTGAGCCACCCAGGTGCCCCTTATCTCTTGTTTCCATTAACATATTCCTCACTTCCTTCTGAGACCGCACCAGAATAGCCTATACCATCCTCATATCTACCCAGTTCTGTTCACAAAGGCTTAGAGCTTTTCTGAGAAGAAAGGCTTTCTCCACTCTTTTCCTTCTGAGTCCTCACCAGACTCTCCCTTAGCCTCCCTGATTCTAGCTACACCTCACAACTCCCCCAGCCTCTGCCTGGCACCCCGCTCCAAAGCTGCAGCAGTGGTCACTGGAAGCGTTAAGAATGAGCAAATCTTGGGGCGCCTGGCTGGCTCAGTCAATAGAGCATGCAGCTCTTAAACTCAGGGTCATAAGTTCAAGCCCCACATAGGACATGGAGCCTACTAAAAATTAAAAAAAAAAAAAAGTAATAAGCAAATCTTCCCCATTAGGACACCTTAGAAAACTGTTGTCACACGGTGTTTCTCTTGATGATGATTTATTAAATATAAGCTGATAGTCGAGTGTCCATATCAAACTCAAAGAATGGAAATTTTAGTCCAAGAATAGAAACCATGGGAATGGCATAACCCAGACAGTTGTGTTGTTCCTTAAAGATCCAAAAGCTCAGGGGACCCTGGGTGGTACATTCGGTTAAGCATTGGACTCTTGGTATTGGCTCGGGCCCTGATCTCTGCGCTTGCTCAGCCAGGAGTCTGCTTAAGATTCTCTCTCCCTCTGCTCCTCCACACTGCTCGCTCACGCTCTCTCTCAGATAAAAAATCTTAAAAAAAAAAAAGATCCAAAAGCTCAGTCAGGCATTTGGAAGTAAGAGGAAGGGTTGTTGATGGAGAGCCCCACATGTAGGGCTCAGGCCTTGAGTGGGGGTGCTCTGACTAGGACCCTCTCCCCTTGGTCCAGCTGTGCCCTATCTGAGCAGTACCCTCCTGGAGGATGGTCCGTGTAACACGGGTCATGGGCTCTTCCCTGGGAGCATGACTGAACTGTGAACTTGAGAAATTTGTTGTCACTCAGTTTCATTATTTTATCCTTAAAAAAGTATATTCTAATGGTTAGAATTGTATATTATAAAAGTTTTTTTTTTATTAAAGTATTGCAATGGGTTGAATGAGATACTGATGTTACCTTTGGTGTTTCTTGCATTTAATATTTGTCTCTGTGTGTAATGTTTGCATGTGACTGTGTCAGTATTTAGGACGAAGTATAAGGCTGAGCATCTAGTGAATACAAAGAAAACATTCTGTCCCTCAGGAAATGGATTATAGGATAAAAGGAAGCAGACAATTTCTTTGGTCTGTGTGTGCGGTGTGCTGCATTTCTAGTGGGTAAATAAACTTACAGTGAGCAGTCTGCTCTGAAACAAAGCCCCCTGTGTTGGTTTGTTTTATTGTGTTTTGTTTTCCTAATCAATTTTGTTGTATGTTTTGGCTTTTTGAGAAATGAAGTTGTTTTCAGTGCTGTGATCATGCTGTCCTTTATTATAGGGGCCAGACGCCTGCCGAGTCGGATTTCCAGGTGCTTGAAATTGCCCGAAAGTTGGAAATGTATGGCCTCAGATTTCACAGAGCTTCTGACAGGGAGGGTGCCAGAATTAACCTGGCTGTCTCCCACATGGGCGTCCTTGTGTTCCAGGTAGGGAGGGCGGCTCTGACTGGGGGGCTTGATTTTACATGTGTTGGTAAATTTTTGTTGTCATGCATAAGGTCTTGGACTTGGAGGAGGAACCTTGCATATCTTCTGGTCCCACCTCTCACTCCGTGGAGCGGAGCGGTTGTTTCCTTGTCTCTGTCCTCATTGTCGAAGAGCCCTCTGCCCCGCCCCCACCCTGGGCGCCTGGTCACATGCCACCTCTGATGTTGACCCTAAGGTCATCCCCAGAGAACCTTTAGGGAAACACTGGCTCCTCTCTGTGGAGCTGTCTCCCTGCCTCGGGTGTGGACCTGCGGCAGGTCTGGACGTGCTGCACTGTGAGGTGTCTGTGGTCCTCATTTCAGGACATAGAAATAGAACAGACCGAAACTATCAGAGGCTGTTGCGCATGATAACCATCAGTACGATCTTCAGGAATCTTTGTGTTGGTTGTGTGTGGAGAGGCCGACGGTTCCATAAAGGGTCCCTAAGTTCTGCCTGCAGTGAAGCATGTGTGTGTGTGCTGGGGTTTGTGGTGTGGAGGTGTCTGAAAGCAGCTGCTAGAGCGCAAGGCCCTCCACGGCCTGGAGATGCCGGAAGGGCTCCCACGCCCTCTTACCCAGGCTCAGTGGCCCACTTGCTGCTGCGATCCCCCCTCTGGGGAGCCCTCTGGTCTGGCCTTTGCAAAGCTGTGGGCCTCCAGGTGCACACAGACATCCTGCAAAGGCCTGCTCAGCACTGACCGCCGTGGGAGGGTGCGTCCTGAGAGTCCAGGGGCTGCATCAGCGGCTCCTTCCTCTGTGGGCTCTTCTTAACCTATGGTCACCTAAGACGGCTCAGCTGATCCAGGCCCCCATAGTCAAGCCACGCTTGTTCTCTTTTTCTTTCCCTTTCTTTTTTTAACCTAGCCATCAAATTTTCAATTTCCTGTTGGGGGAAAAAAATCTTATTTTGTAACCAGAATGTTAATAGTGTTCTATTGTAGACTGACTGACAGGTGGAGACCGTGCCAGGCACACTGAGTTGATGGACCCCAGGGCCTCCCACACCTTCTCGCTCACATGATAGTTCTTGTATCATGCAGAGATGAAAATCACACATCCATCCCAATCGAGCTGGGGTAATTTTTCCAGAAAAGGATAAATTTGTAACTGGAAGAAGTTAAAAGCAGGGATTAGAGACTTCAAATTAAACACATTAGATGGTATTTTTATTCCCTCAAACCCCCAACAGAATGACAATGAAAGATTTTTTTTTTGAAGTTTAAACTAGTAAGAACAAAGACTAGGTAAGGAAACCACAGAAGGCGAGTGTCGGCGACGTTTTGGAAGTTGAGAAATGGGCAGATGAGTGGGAATAGTGCGGTGTAGGAAAGGCTGAAATCCCACCGCCTGCAGTGGGAACAGAGTGTGGGGGGTCAGGCTGCTGTCTGACGGCCCGGGGCAGGCTGGGGCTGGAAACAGCCTGATGTCACTGGGGGAGGAGGAGGTACAGCTGCAGAGCTGCAGCCCCTCCCTGTGCTGGGAGAGGGCAGGAGTCTTCCTCTCCAGGGTATGGCTCAGATGGTAGAGATTTAAGGGAAAGCCTATAATCTCAGGTTGCCGCGGGCCCTCCCCGTCTCTGCTCCCTTGGAATGGTGGCCACGCTGACATCTTAGAGACAGGGGACTGTGATGTCCAGAAAGTCCACGTGGCCTTATGGGAGCCCTGCCGGTGTTCACACGGGGGCACCCCATAGTAATGGGCCTGGGTCCCTACCCCAGCCCACAAAGAGCCTCCAGCCAGCATTTTAGAGCCTTCTGTTTTAAAAACTTTTATTCGGAAATAGTTTCAAACTTACAGAAAAGCTGTAAGAATTAGAACAGCACATAGAGCCCCCATGTGCCCAACCCCAGCTTTCACCCGTTCCAGCATTTTACACATTTGCTTTGTGGTTTGCGCTTCCCCCGGCATGCTTCCTTACCCCCACTCCATGTACACGCACAGCCACACGTGAACACACATGCACACACGTGCACAAGTCTTGTGAAGCATTTGAGAATGGGTTACAGACTCCAGAACCCTTGACCACTGAAGGCATGTATTTGTAAGAATAGAACACTGCCTTACCCTTATCAGTGAAGCAGCTGATACGCTGGTCATCTTCCAGGCTTATCAGCCAGGCAACTGATGTCCTCCTGGTGTTACCCCTGCAGGACAGGGCCCAGGCTAGGACCAGGCATGGCGTTTAGCCGTCACATCTGCTGTGTCCTTGAAGCTAGAGCATTTCTTTTTTCTTCATCTTTAGGACATTGACAGTGTTGAAGAACACAGTCCTTTTTATTTTTAATAGGACATTCTCCATTTGTGGTTTGTCTGCTCTTTTCCTGGGATTAGGTTCAGGAGACACATTCCCAGCTGGACCACTACCCAGGCAGGTGCTGTCACGTCCTGGACAGGGAGTCACGACTGAGACACCATCCAGCCTCAGTGGTGGTGTGAATCTTGATTCCCGCCTTGTAGTTCTTAATTACTAGTCTTGGTTAATAGTCATTAGCTTTAGTTATTACTGGTTATTATAGTTACTAGTTTTTCAACCAGTAAGCAGTCTGTGGAGAGACACCTTTAAGACCATGTAGTTTTCCTGTCCCTCTCCAGATCACCCCTAGATTTCGCACCCGGTGACCAGATGGTCACAGACTCTTACAGTCCTGGGACCTCACTGTTAAACTCAGATAACCAGAGATCACCAGAAATTTGAGGAAATCCTCTCTCTTCAAGGACATAACAAATTAGTGCTCAGAAGAAACAGAGCCTGTGCCAGGAATGGAATGGGGAAACAAACCCTACAGACTCCTCAGAGAAGACGCTGTCTTCTATCTGTCCCATGGACAAGATAAAGAAAAATCACTTTACACTGCGTCATGCTCATGAGGAGTAGGAATCAGATGTGTAAAATTTTTGTCTTATAATTTTAAATTTTAGCCTTATTTATAATAGTAAAATACTGGTAATTGATCATCAGGAGGCTGGTTCATCCATATTATGGAATATCAGGCAACTGCACAAAGAATGTGGAGGCTTTCTGTGTCGTGATACGTGGAACATTGATGCACTGTTGTGTGGATTCAGGTGTGTGTAGTTTGCTCCTGCTTGTGGGGAAAAGAGGGAAAATGACACACTCTTTACACCTTTCAAAATAAACAGGTGGCCTTGACAGCCAGTGGGAAGGGAGGGCAGCTACAGGCTTTGGGAGCAGGTGAGAAGGGGCTTTTCCCTACAGACTCATTCTGGTGAGGTTTTGAACCTTGTTGATACATCACTGCCTTACATTTTCCGGAAATCCTCACAGAAAGCCTACATCTGTGAGACACGAGCAGTCTGCAGTCACAGGGACACACGGAGGACAGGAGTGTTTGCAGATGTAGAAATGTGGTAGCAGAAAGGGCCGTGCTGCAGAGTGAGGCCGTCTGGAACATGAAGATGAGGAAATCTCCACAGAGCAGATAGAGGACTCACAATATAGGAGGAAAGTGATGAAGAAACCGTTACCGAAATCACGTGAGAAACATGTCCAACTTAAGGCATGAGTGTCCATTTTGGAAGTGCCTACACGTTCGTAGTTCCTGACGAGTAAAGATCACTGCAGGACACACCAGTGTGAAATGTCAGAATGGGGGAGAGGACCAGAGAGCTCCCAGGAGGAGAGGGAAGGAAATGGTATCTGGCTTGTCAGGGGCAACACTGGAAGCCATGAGAAATAGGGCAGGCAGTGGTGCAGAACGTGAAAGAAAATCATTTCCCACCCAGGATCCTGTGCCCTGTTCAACATGACTTCTGTGCAGAGGGAAAAAAAGCATTTTCCAGATACACAGTTGTTCAAAGGTTTGACTGCTGAGCACCTTTTAAAGCACACGACCAGAGAGAACAGACCAGCAGCAGACGGGCCACACTTTGGAGGCCAGGCCCAGGGAGCACCCATCAGCATGCGAGGAGCATGGAGGGAATTGTCTCCTGGATCAGGCCCCACTGAAGAGTGTTAAACTCTTCAGGGATGGGGCGCCCAGGTGGCTCAGTCAGTTGAGCATCCGACTCTTGGTTTCTGCTCAGGTCCTGATCTCAGGGTTGTGAGATCGAGCGCCCATCAGGCTCCGCGCTTAGTGCAGAGTCTGCTTAGGGTTCTCTCTCTCCTCCCTCTGCCCCGCCTATTTGTGCTCTCTGACTCTCTAAAAAACAATCTAAAAAAAAAAAAAAATTCTGCAAGGAGAGTTTGGGCTGAATTAGTGGTAAGAACATAAAATTAAGTAAATGGAAAGAGGCACTTAGTCTCTCAGGGAGAATTGAAAGTAAAGGAGCAAAATAGTTATGATTTACCATGGCTCAACCTGTGAGAAGTACTCACATGATCAATAATATAAAAACCAAATTTAAAATTCACCCACCGCAGAGGGGGTGTGGGAGGGCTCAGGAGGCCGGGTCTCCAGCAGGAGCCAGGGCTGCTGAAGGGAGTGCCATCCCAGCAAGAGGGCCCAGAATTGCTGGGTTTTGTCTCAAGCCTTCCTAGACATTTATAATTACGCCATGGATTATTGGATAAAAATTAAAATGAAAGCAGTAGCTCTGAGTGTTTACAGCCAGCTGCTCAATTTTAAAAGTTTCAAAAGTCAAAGTCTGTCAAGGTGAGGCAGAGTTCATGACCACTCCAGTTGTGATCGGGTTTTGTTTCTTCTTTTGACTTGTGACAGTGGTTAAAACCCTGGAATATGACATTTTTTTAATTTTGGCTACAAGGAAGTGGAACAGTGAGCAGGCTGGCAGCACCAGTGTGTGAGACCTCTCTCAGCTGGTCCGTGTCTGTCTTGGGGGGGAACACACTGTCTCTGCCTTGCTCACAGCCCCTGCCCAGGCACATAAACCATGTCTGGAGTTAAAAATGGCGGGGGGGGTGGGGCACGGGAGGGAGGCTTTTGTTTTCTTTTGTTGATGTTACGTATTTGGGTTATTTTTGTTTTGTTTGCTTGCTTTTTTTGAGAACATAGTTGAAAATTTGAGCAGAAATTAGAGTAATTAGTGGTTTGGGCAGTATTTGGAAATCTGGGATGCTTCAATTCTCGTGGAGACCTGAACATTCCTATCAGGGCTTTCAGGACACCTCTTAACTTGGGGATTGTTTTCCTGGAGATGTAAATCACAGACGATAAACTTTACCACTTTCCAGTACACGTTCATGTATTCTTAGTGTGTTTACAAAATCACAAAATCATGCAGCCATCACCCTGTGTAATCCAGAGTGATTTTAATCACCCACTTCCCGCCCTGCCACTGAGCCACGCCCTGCCTCAGGCTCTCCTCCTTCCGGGCTCCACGCCTAAACTGGGTCCACACGCCTGGCTTCTTCCCTTGTTTTCAGAACAGGTCCATGTGGTGGCGTGCATCAAGTCCCATCCCCTTTTAAGGTTGAAGGTTTTTGGAGTTTCTGAAGGGAAACTTCATTCCCTACCCTCCTGCCCCCATCTCAGGTTTGCAGAGAAAATGATCATGATGGTCAAGAGTAGAGGGGAGAATTCCAGGAAGGTGTCTCAAAACATTGAATTTTTAGAGGCTCCTCGGTGGCTCAGTCGTTGAGCGTCTGCCTTCGGCTCAGGTCATGATCCCAGGGTCCTGGGATCGAGCTCCGCATCGGGCTCTCTGCTCTGCAGGAAGCCTGCTTCTCCCTCTCCCACTCCCCCTGCCTGTGTTCCCTCTCTCGCTGTCTCTCTCTCTGTGTCAATTAAATAAATAAAATCTTTTAAAAAAAAAACACTGAATTTTTATTCTGAAACAATTTAAAGCTTACAGAAAAGTTCAAGAACAGTACAAAGAGGGGTACCTGGGTGGCTCAGTCGGTTAAGTGTCTGCCTTCAGCTCAGGTCACGATCCCAGGGTCCTGGGGTCAAGCCCCACATCGGGCTCCCTGCTCAGCGGAGAGCCTGCTTCTCCCTCTCCCTCTGCCACTCCCCCTGCTCATGCTCTCTCTCTGTCAAATAAATAAAATCTTTAAAAAAAAAAAAAAAAGGAACTGTACAAAGAACTTCTTCACCTGAGACCTCCATCCAGATTTCACCAGTTGCCCTCATCTTGTTTGTTGCAAGAGATCTAAGGTCAAGCGCCGTGCCCTGTCATCTGCTCTTTCCAGTTTGGAACATTCTTCCTTCTTTCCCTGATTCTCATGATTACAGGCCATTCTGTGGAACGACCATAATATGGGCTTGTTGAACACTTGCTGATGATCAGACCCTAGGCTAAGCTTCTTGGGTAAGTCACAGAAGTGACGGTGTTCCTTGTACGGCTTTGAGGTGGCCCATGGTGCCATACTGCTGGCAGTGTCAGCACTGAGCACTTGGTCAGATGGCACTGACAAGCTGCTGTACTGCAAAGGTACTTCTTTTTTTTTTTTTTAAGATTTTATTTATTTATTCATGAGAGAGGGAGAGAGAGAGAGAGAGAGAGAAGCAGAGGGAGAAGCAGGCTCCCAAGGAGCAGGGAGCCTGATGCGGGACTCGATCCCAGGACCCCGGGACCATGACCTGAGCCGAAGGCAGATGCTCAACCATCTGAGCCACCCAGGCGCCCTGCAAAGGTACTTCTTGTCCTTGGTGATTAATAAGCCTTTTGTGGAGAGAGTTTGAGGCCACGTACACGTCTGTACCTCACCCACTCACCTGGTTGGATTACTCTGAGGGCTGCCACATGGTGACTTTTTTAATGCCATTTGTTGTGCTCCTGGAAGGGTTTTCTCTGCATTTGCTTACTTCATACCACTGTGGACTCGTGGATTTGTATTACACTCGAATCACAGTTTGAATTCTAACAGTTCAGGTTATACTCTGACCCCTGATAATCTGCTGCTGTCACTATTTATTTTGGTCTGTGAATTGTCCCACGTTGGCCCTTGGACATCCCTCCAAGCAGGCGCTTGTGTCTCCTGGGCACGTACCATCCCGTTGAGCACTCATTTACTTTCTTAGACAAGATATTCCAGGGTCAGTTTGTGCTTGGCCACTTCACCCCGAAGACTGAAGAGCCCTGGTCTTTCCAGTGGAGAGTAGGATCTAGAAGCCAAAACCCGTGTGCACTCAGCGTGCCCATTGCTGCTCCAAGAGTCAGGAGCTCGTGCTGCCAGCTCCCACTCCAGGGCATCGCCCCACGGCCTGGCCCAGCCTTCCCCACCCCCGCAGCAGGAATCCCGGCTCTGCTTCCACCCCTGCCGGGCCACCCCTGGCACTCCTCCTGACCACCCTCTTACAGGAGTGGGCTTCAAGGAGTGTTCAATATTGGCCTTGATAAAAAGTAGTCTTTTGTAAGAAAACCTTATCAAAGAAATCAAGTTACTGTCCTAAAACAAGTACATTCCTATGTTTAGTGTTGACATTTTAATTCAGTGTCATTCCAGATACAGTTACAAAATGTCAAGTGCATTGCTGTGCTATCTGGCAAGGTTGTAATTTAAACATTCTGTATTTCATGAAAAGTTGTGTGTGTGTGTCTGGATTACAAATGTGTCTGAGTGTCCATCTCTTGAATTTCAGGGCACCACCAAAATTAACACTTTCAACTGGTCCAGGGTCCGAAAACTCAGCTTCAAGAGGAAAAGGTTTCTCATCAAACTGCACCCAGAGGTCCATGTAAGTATGATTTCAAGCACTTTCTGAATTACAAGAGAATTTATTCTCCTAGAATATTAACTTGTTAATTATTTTATGAATCACTTCCACATCATGCACACAAGAATTTAAGGATGGGATTTGGAATTGAGGTGTGGAAGGGCTTTGGGTAATCTGCCCTGTAGGTCTTGCTCCTGAGCGTGGGTCAGCATCCCTGAGGGGCTGCTTACACCACTCATTGCTGGGCCGGATTTCAGATTCAGCAGGTCTGGGGTGAAAGAGAGAAGCTCACAGGGGCTGCTGAGAACAATTTGTTGATTACAGTGTCTTTGTTCTCTAGGTTAGGAGGCTGAGACACGAGGTATTTAACTGTGATCTGAAGCCCTACAGCAGATTAGCATTAGAGCTTCTGTCCAGAGTAAGGGACATTCCCAGTATGTATTCAGAAATTGACGTTTTGCTAACTCTAATTGGAGAAGCCTTGATTTTCGGAAAAGAAATACTCCTTCCTTTTGAGATTGTCAGTCAATAAAATAATAATTACATGGGAATTTACTGTAATGGGTAAAGATGAGAAAAAGTACGTGTCTATACAGTCTGATAGGAAAAATCCAATACTTGAAGCGATTCGAAGGTGTCCGAGTTGGTACATTTCCAGTGCACAGAGGAGGTTAGGAACTGAGAGTAGATTAGCCGCACCGCTGCGGGAGGAGGCTGACGGGGCTGTCTCAGCACAGACACACCATGAGTGGTGGGCAGAGAGGCTCTCCCTAAGCTTCTGAAAGGCACTCAGTCAGCCAGAGCTTTGGTCAAACAGCAGGTGCACGTGCTGCATGCGTGTTTACTTTCCGTAGAAGCACAAAAGGTGGCTTGTTTCTTGTTCAAATATCTGTTGTAGGAATGAAATTAAAGTCTAAGGAATACGAAAAACATACACAAAATGCAGGTAAAGGGCTGCTTTTTTCTCTTGAGTACCGGAACTGTTTCCAGGGCGGTTCTGACAAGCTTGGGAACCAGGGGGATCACTGCTCCGGCACACTGAGGCTCAGAGCCAATACGACACCTGCCCATGGCAGAGTTGCAGCTTGTATCTCTCAGCACTTAGATTTCAAAGACTGGATATAGGAGTCCAGGTAGGATGGTCTTTCTGGAAGGTAATTCGGTAGTATGTCACAAGGCTCACAAATGTGCATTGTTGGGGCACCTGGCTGGCTCTGTCAGTGCAGCGTGCAACTCTTGATCCTAGGGTCATGAGTTCCAGCCCGATGATTAGTGTAGAGATTACTTAAAATAAATAAATAACCATTTTTTTCATGTGCATTATTTTAAGCTCACTAACATTTCTAAGAATTTGTCCTGAGGAATAACTATGAGAGAGAATGCAGTAGTTGCTTGAAGATGACATATGTGAGCCTTTAAAATCATGTGTCCTGGACATCCAGAACATCCCCAGAACCCCACAGGAAAATGATTGAGCAACGGCATATAAATAGTTGCCTGACAGGGAAGATGCCCTGGTTTGCCTTGTGGGATGTGTCACAAGGGTACACTTGTAAACGTTAGCAGTTGTGTAATCGTGGATGACTGCATCCTTCTGATAATTTCTACAGTGAATATGTGTATACCGCTTTTCTTTTCTTAAATGTAAATGGCACCAGAAGTCTTTATAGATAATTTTCAGAAAAAAATATTTTCCTGATTTTTAACGTTGGAATAAATAGCCTGTTATCTGCTTCCTAAATGTTCTTCTTGAATTAGTTACTTTTGAACCTTCATGTTTTGTTTCTAGGGACCTTACCAGGATACGCTGGAGTTCTTGTTGGGCAGTAGAGATGAATGCAAGAACTTCTGGAAGATCTGTGTGGAGTATCACACCTTCTTTAGACTCTTTGATCAACCTAAGGCCAAAGCTAAAGCCATCTTCTTCAGCAGGGGCTCGTCCTTCAGATACAGGTGGGGCAGCACCATGCACCTGGCAGGCTTTGGCAGCTTCATAGGACTGAGACTGTCAAGAAACAAGTGCTGTTAGATGTGTCAGAGGATTACATGCAGCATGCAGCTAGGCAAGCTGGCAAAAGCATATCAAGTAAAACAATGGGAAAAATAGCTTTGATAGAAACTGTAGAAAATCAGGTATGCTTCCTACGAAGCATAGCTTTAAAACGTATGTGTGAACTTAGGGGATCAGCAAGTGTTACTTTGACTCTTTGGAAGATTAATGCTGTGAATTGCTGTTGGCTCTTTTCTTTAAAATCTGAACCTTTATTCACAGTGGAAGAACTCAGAAACAGCTGGTGGATTATGTCAGAGACAGTGGGGTGAAGAGAGTTCCGTATGAAAGGTAAGCACCATGGTCTTCATGCTGTGAAGTCTGTGCTTTTAAAATCAGTATTTCCCATATTTTAACCTGTATTTAAACAGACATACATACATAAACGTGTATTTTGACACTTGAGTCAAATTATCTTTTAAAGATAATGGGTGAACATCTTGATGCAGGTGATGTGCACAGCCTCAGGTCCTGCTGTTGGGGCTCTACTCTGTGTAGTTCATCTCACATAGAAGGTTTCCATGTAGCATGGTAACTTTTGAATCTGAAAATTCATCTCATTTTTTTGTGTGTGTGTGTGTGGAATTTTTCTTCTTCTACAACATCTATTTTTTGTTCTTGCTTTCTGTCACCTGCCTGTTTCTAGCTAGACACCTGTGGCATGGTATCAGACTTGAGCCCCATTCTTTCCCAGGGCACGGCTGCCCTCGGCACAGGTACCAGGAGTGGTGGGCGTGGTGGCTCACACCTTGTTCTCTGTTTGCAGAAGACACAGCAAGACTCGGATGTCTATTCGTGCTCTGACTGCAGACTTGCCAAGGCAGGTTAGTCCTTCTGGTTGAAAGACACATGATATTAATCACCTGCACTCCTTTGGAGGATACTCTGGCATTGCTGTAACAGGAGTCTTAGAGTCAGTCCTGCTGTTTTTGTGGAGACTCCAATCCTGGGGCTGTTTGCAGAAGAGGAGTCCTAAGTAAAGAGAAAGCTTCGTGCATTGAGACGTCCGTTATGGTGTTTTTGTAACACTAGAAATCCAGAACACCAGCAGCTATGCTGGGCGACTCACTAGCACAGTACTGGGTGTGCCCATTTGATGAGGAGTGCTCGAGAACCATTAATGGTCTCATTTTAGGAGAACAGTTTGTGGCTAGGGACACTCGAGAATGGATTAGCAAGTGAAACTAGCAGGTTGCAAAGCAGCCTGTGTAATAAGGTCTCATTCTGAGCTGAAGTGACAAACAGATGCCCAGGGAGGACAAGCTAGAGGCATAAACCTCAGTGTCACTCCTCTCTGAGTGACAGGGCTCCAGGAGATTTTATTTTCTCTTTGTACTTTTAGTTTTCTGCAGTGGGCTCACACTGCTTTTTGTTTCCAGAAAAACAACTGAATGAATATTACCTTTATAAAAGTTTGAAACAATGTAAAATGCCAGCTTAGGGAATAGTTTACTTCATTAAGCTATACTCATAGAGTGAGATTTTTTGCTAATATGTTAAGGGTAAAAACATATTTACGTGGAAACAAATTTATATCTGCGTTTGGCATGATTACTACCATGAAAGCAAGGGCACACACACGGGCGCACGCAGATACTTTACAGAAAAACACTTGGCCCCAGCGTCCAGAATGTGGAGGCAGCAGAAAGAGCCGGCGTGGCAGGCGTGGGTGGTCCTCTGCTTCCATCTGCCCCACTAGAAGCTTCCTGTTTTCAGGTTTGCATATCAGCTTCCACACGCAAGCTCACCTTCACGGAGAATCTCGCTCTCACCATATGATATCATAACTGCCCCCTCAGGCAGCTATGTAGTTTCATATTGATGATTTTTTATTTCTGTACAATGTTAGTTTTTGTTGACAATTGATCATTCATATCATTACAGTATTTCCAGAAGCTACACTTGCACCTCACCTATCAAAGCTCATGTGTCCCAAACTTTTTAAATTAGGTCTTTTATTTATTTTTTTTTTAAAGATTTATTTATTTATTTATTTATTTATTTATTTGGCAGAGAGATACAGAGAGAGCACAAGTAGGCAGAGAGGCAGGCACAGGGAGGGGGAGAAGCAGGCTCCCCGCCGAGCAGGGAGCCCGATGCGGGGCTCCATCCCAGGACCCTGGATCATGACCTGAGCCGAAGGCAGACGCTTCACCCACTGAGCCACCCAGGCGCCCCGTTAAGTTAGGTCTTTTATTTTTTTATTTATTTATTTTTAAGATTTTATTTATTTGTTTGAGAGAGAATGAGAGATAGCACGAGAGGGAAGAGGGTCAGAGGGAGAAGCAGACTCCCCGCCGAGCAGGGAGCCCGATGCGGGACTCGATCCGGGCACTCCAGG